TGTCACCATAGGTCTCTCCATACGGCCCCAGTCCAGAAAATGCCTTTTGTCCCCCATACTGAACAGAATTAGTTCCTTACGAAAAAAATTACTGACTACAATTTGTGACTTCACTATTTTGCCAAAGGAACCGCATCATGCATGCTACAGAACAGTGTCTATGTGGTTTATGCTCATTTTTTGTGGTTCGGTGTCTTTGCTAGCGGGCTGGTACCGCCAGTATTGATTAATACAGCAGCATGAGTGTTTTATGAATATCAGATAGAGAATGGCATAACTTGACGGAATGACACATACCATGTTTGATGAATTTTACGACTGCTGTGTTATCCATAGTGCTTTGTGTCCAAACTTTGCATATGGTGTTTAAAAAGACTCTCTGCGAAGGTACAAAACATAAGATAGCGGCAGACGAAGTGCACTTTAAAGATTGGAGCATATCAGTGTGGGTCTTGACAAGAACAGGGGCCGCAGAATTCCTTCAGCTTACATGCTTACAGTTTGCTCGTGCGCACAGAGTACCCTGGGAGTGAGTACCTGCACAATACATGATTAACCTTTAGTAACCACGACTACAGATGAACCTGAATAAATGTTCTTTGGAGGTCTCCGCTTTGTCCGCAAGTATCACCCCTCGATAGAGTTCATTGTTTGTTCTCTTTTACTTGTGGTCCCAGGAGGTAGAGTGCATCCGTTTCAAACCCTAACCTCACACCCCGACCCGCTTGTATCTATACAACCACAGAATGAATCTGACTTCCCCTATCTCAAATTTTATCTCGACTCGTTGTCCGAAAATATCTTAATGAAGCCTCCATGGCACGTGCAAATGAATACCCATCTGATGCGTCAGCTTTGGCTTAATGGTAAGACAGTTTTACTCATCAAGCAAAGGCATCCCAATGAAAATGGCTGCTGCACGTGTAGTCATCCATTGGCTCCTCAAACTGCTGATTTTACCCGCTTTGCTGTTAAGCTATTCCATAGCACCGTGAGCTCGGCCGACGACTTAGAACATATCGTTTCAAGATTCCTCACTTGACTAACTACCTCTCGTTCAATTGAAGATTAAACGAACTACCACTATAATAGGGGCAAAAAGTAAAAAGTGGTTCAATTCATGTCACTATTAGATGCAGTTTAAAAATGCTTCAATGTTTCATCACAGACAAAGAAAACTTATCAGGAAGGTCAGCTTCCTGAAAGTAGCCACCGAATGCCCGAAATCTACCGAGACTCTCAGCTCCTCTAGATGTTGACCAGACAGACGACACCCCCTCAACATGCAGCGCGTCATAGCCTTGTATAAAACCCAGACAGCGCGAGTCAGCGTTGATCAAGGTGAGACAACGCCCCTGCAGTACGCAGCACGTCACAGCCTCGTACCAAAGCCAGACCGTGTGCGTCAGCATTGGACCGAGTTCAGACTGTCCGTTGTACTTTTCGCACTCGCGCTCTCGCACCCGCTTGTTCGGAATGTAGCTGTTGCGTTCCCTTCTGTGAGTCTTTTTTCTCCGGTACTAGGCGCTGGAGCGGGTCAGCAGCAGATACCACGGATTGACGAATCAGCAGATACAAAACTCAATGTTTTCAGTTCCATCATTTGGTGGTATTGTGATGAAAGATCAGTGTGCCTCAGTTTTTTATGCTGTATAATAGGTTGTAGACATGTAGTTTTGTATGACAACGGCTTCCTAAGCTATGAAGCGTTCTAATGAAGTTCGACCATTAATACTGAACTGGGCTAGGCATCAGTGCGATTAGATGAGCTGTATGTATGAAAGATGTTTTCCCGTAAGTTTTGTGACTTGCGAGTACTGTCCACTTAGTTCGGGAGATCGAATGAGCAACAAACAAACAGTCAACGTATCATTTTAGCTGTGTTCCGCTAATATCGTCTCAAATGGTGTACAAAATGTCCATACTCCCAGCGGGGCATGTAGAAGAACACGATTGAATTTTTCGTTATTTTTACGCCAGCAGGCTGGGTTGCAGACCCATTGCCAAGTTTCAGCATCTATCCCGGACTGGTTGATGCTATTGACAGTATTTCCTCTTAGGCTAAAAAGACTACAATAAGTAACCATTTCGCTTATCCACAACACTGATACCCTGGTAAGACGAACAAAAGCGTGGGAAACAGTGGGTGAGTTTGTATCAAACGTTAGATAGGTTTGTATTGAAAATTACCACATTCCTTTGGCCAGCTGTGCAAGACGAGGAAGATTAGTAGTTTTTCGCCTCTCAACAGGAAACATCCATAGTTGAGATGTGTCCTCATTAATGGAGATGTTGTGCTTCTTAGTTGGATCGCGTAAGTTCTGTCGCCTCTAAACGCTGTAGTACCTCAGGGTCATTCCAGTAATCTATGTCTTGCCCAATCTTGAAAAAACCGAGTGAATTTGTTTGCACAAGAGGAGCTGTGTTACTGTGAAGGGAACGAATTCCGCCTCCACACTGTCTTGTTGAAGGTGCGGTTAGTACAGTGGGGGCCGTCGGGTCGTTAGAACGCCGTATCCAGGATGATATCTTGGTAGGCCCGTTCAACCATTTTTGAGCAATTTTTATCATGCGTGTCTCTCAAGTGGACTAGTAAAACACTTTCCAGCTGAGTTACTCCTTGGTGATTCACTTTGTGGTGAACCGATTGTCTGCGTTAAGAACTTTCCATTCATTAGTGGTTCTGCTGTGATCCTGGTCAATGTATACACTGAGTACCATGTAAATACCAGAGCCGGGCCACTCTAGTGTGATTGGAGAATAATCGATACCTTGTTAATGTCTTGAATTTTTTCCGTGTGAAGTACCAGTGGGCTTTTTCAAGTGTTTCTCTGTTGTATATCGGTACCGTGTGACCAGTGCACATGTTCTTTGCAAAATTGATCTTCAACGTGGCGTATCTTATATCAACGTAAGAATTGGAATATTCAAAGCGAAAGTGTATCCGATACTAATCGTGTTTAGCTATTTATCTAGTCTCTGTTAAATTGGTAACTGGCGTTCCTTTCTCAGAATGGTCTCTTGTGCAACCAGAGGCTACGTCATCAACCTTTTTGGTTTGCTGTGATTGTTTATTGCCGTTTCGGATAGGTATCGAGTTATTAAGCATCCTGGGTTCTTGTTTCTTTGCCTTCAGTTCATATTGCAGCTTTGTCGTGTTCCGTTGCGTGGCACTGTGCGCGTATCCTGGGCTAATGTATCAATCAATCCAATTTGATCCAAATCACGAATCAGCTGTTGTGGTAGAATGGTGTTTCAGCAGTGGCTAGTGTGACAGTAAATCAGTAAATCTGGGTCAGGTGCCTAACCTGTTTACCTCGTAATATTTCCTCTCGGAGGTTGAACCGGTCATTTTTGGGACGGAAATTCCCCGATTCTAGAAGAATAGCTGTCAAACAAAATTTTCCCTCCGAAGTTGTCCTCGAAGGGGAATCTTCACCTTCGAGGAGAGAGTACTGCACTACACATACACGCACTTGCCCTGATGGTTTGCTGTGAGTCTATTCGATTGGCGAACTCAGTATTTTGTTGGTTTCTGGTGAAGCGGACGCTGTCAACCTATATAAGCATATATAGTATGTGCAATCGTCGCGTTAAAACCATGTGCCACCGATGCCATTATGTGCTTTTTGACCTCTGAGTGTGTACGCGCACACGTGCTGGTAGCGTTATTAATGGTTATAATATAAGTCACTGACCAGAGAAGTGTCGGTTAAACGCGTGAATGACTGTGGTTGTTAGTGCTGATAGTATCGACCCGTGATTGAAGACTTATTAGGGCGGGGTCTTACGGTAAGGAATCCTGCTGTCGTTTAACCAAGGTCGGTGGTTTCTTTTACGTCGACTGTCACAAACGCATTTAGTATTTTTCACGAACATTGTTTACGTTGATATGCTGTCGGTGCAACTGATAACGTTGGAGGCGGTATTAATCTTCTTTGAGACTCCCCTGTTAATCCTGATGCTGTGTCGAGGGCACTAATTTTGTAGCGAGTGGTAGAGAAATCTCATGCCATGAATGAATCCGTGCTCGGATCGATCTGATCCCTAAAATTTTTACTTTAGTTACCTTACGGGTCTCCGAGGACTCGGTAGCAGGCTAGTAACTGTTTATGTAGGACAGAGATTTCGTAGGCATCAGTGTGTAATTCAACGGGCTAGTAATTCGGTAAAAAGGTTAACGTGGGCAGAATGTGAACCGCAACTCAATATCGATGTGATAAGTAATAGTTGTTAGCCGTTGCGCAGCTACTCAATCGGAACAGCCCGGGATATAGCGCGGTTGAGGGTCCAGCTAAACGGCCATAGAATTGTTGCCACGACGTATTTTTGGCCGTTGGGACGCCTTTTCACTGTGGTGGTTTGTTTAATGAGTGTTTCGCCTAATTGCCGTTTGCTGCTTGCAGCGATGAACATATCGTATCGGTGACATAAGCGGGTAGTACGAATGAGCAGTCGGTTTAAGGCGTTCCCACGGGTATTTCGGCACCATGTGTAAAGTTTATCATTTTCGCTCCAGTGAACTAAGGCTTAATACTGTGCCCAGAGATTTCGTCATCTGACGAGAAGTTTGAGGAGACCGATTTAAACACGAAAAATTCTAATCATTAATGCTAGGGGTCTGTAGTGGAACCAAGTACGAAAACTGATTATTTTACTGTTGATTTCTCTCAACATGTGAGTGGTGGGTCTGGTTATCTTTTCCTTATAAACCTCACTGTCCACTGTTTTTCTCACTTCTTGAGGATGTAGTCCACTCTGTGATTTATACAAGAGTCTCCGCGCAGAACGATATCACATGCATGTCTGGTTGATCTTCGAAAACGAAACCCAGGTGTGGGTCACTATTTTCAGGGTACGAAGACGGGGTCACTCGGACGAAACTTCAGAAGTGAAACTATTATAAACAACCAACCTACTCATAGAAGGTTAATCTTGTTTAATTTTGTTGTGAAGACTTGCACCTTAACCCTTATGTGTGTTCTCCCTTTGTGTCACAGGTGATTGAGGCAAGAAAGGCTGAAGCACCATATCTTTTACCCAACGTTGCATTTAACCGATCGAACACGACAGAAAGGTGAGTTTCACGGTTCATCGCAGCTATGTTCCTGTCAAAGTTTCTCCAAACACTCGTCCTTCTCTATAAAAGTCCATTTGTTTACGATATTTGTCAGTGATCTTTGTAACAAAACTGAATGCAGCGCCTCCAAGCGAGATGGTCGCCTGTTGGAGTTATATGCTTTTGGAAGGTAACCTTTCGTTATTAGGTTGCAAAGGTATCGCAGTAGTTGCAGTTGGAACCACCAAGATAGCATGTCAGTTTGTAGCTATCAAACAATGAAGGAACTGACAATTGAGTTTACAAGCTCCCATCACCAGCCTACCACATTACTGTGACTTCTTCGCTTCACTAGTCGTACATTATTTATTCAATTCAATTATATACGGCCTGTCATCTTTTGTACGACTGTACATTGCTCCCGCAACCAGTTGAAAGCCTAAGTGGTAAAGTATTTAGTTCGTATCACTAGTGATTGCGTGTGTGCTAGTCTCGTATTCACAGAAAAACAGGAACAATGAGGCTTCGAAATGATCCGGTTCCGTAGAATTAATCCTTGTAACCCATATCATTATCTTTCTTATGTCCCCTACTCCTCTAACCTTTGTACTGTGGTCCCATGTCCCAGCTGCTCAAAATGTTATTTTCAAATAGTAGTAGTCCTCGGTAGAGTCTCAACACATGTCAACCACACTCGATATTCCTGACTGGGTGAACCGTGCTGACAGCATCTATTTGTATCTAATCGTAGTTTGAGGTAGCTCAGCGGTCAGGATGCCAACTTACCGACCAGAACTGTTGATTCGAACCCAACCCCGGTATCTCGACTGTTTCTGTCTAGGTTTGGGCCCCCTGGCATATCTCACTCCTCGTACTTTTTTCGTGGCAGCTCGGCATCGAAGGGTTGTTACAGCTGAACACTGGTTTTGTTATTATTATGTATCTAACCAGTGGATTATTCGTACACTTTTGACTCACTTCAACAACCTAATCATGTTGCGCACGTCTAGCCGCAGCACTTTGGTTCGCATTAATGTTTATGGTCAACTGTCAAATCATTTATTATCAAATTTCCAGTTCATGTGTTGGTGTAGTCCTGTTAGTTCGTACTACGTCGTATTATTCACGTTCTGATCCACTTTTTTCACAGTTGTTCTGTGTATCATTATGTATGTATTTGTGCGCCTTCGTACATTCGGCTACCTTGTTACTTTAGAGCGCAGTGGACTTACCGATTGCACGACGTGTCAGCACTCATGCAGTTCATTTTTCATGTTTGGTTACTTGGTAATCAATACCTTCGCAAGGTTGGGACAATCTTTTTGCGTTAATGTCTTTCGGATTCCCCGGTGGGGGGGGGGGGTTCTATACTAGCTGCTTCCTTTGTTTGGCCTCAGTCTCATGCAACTGATTGACCTCTTCCATCAGGCCACAATGCCTTTCAACACCAAGGGCTTTGGCGTGCACCATATGTCGTCGGCTTTTTAAAACAGAGTTCATATATTAACCGTAACAAACAAAATAGGAAAATAAAATCCAAACAATCGGATGTACTTTCAAGGATAGACCCTGCTGCCAGCTGGATGACGGTAAGACTGATCGCACGTACTATATTCGGAAAACGAAATTTTCCACCGACTATGGCTTCAGCGGAAAGCACCATTCTCTCCAAATATGAAATACGCACTCCTAAGTCTATCGGACAGCGTTTTGTTGTCATAAAGAAATTAGTCTTGAGTTTCCCTCCTTTGCTCAGCGTTTTCTAAAGCGATAACAAAAGACTGACCACCTGTGAGATGGTCGGTCTCGATAAGGAAAGCAGTAGAAGACCATTGCGTAGAAGCCAAATTTCACGCTACACCGTCTGTGAATCATTTGCATTTCATACTGCACTTGGGGATGCGATCTTAGAATCTCCAATTCATAACGAAAGTCTGCCCATTCTATGGATCTAAGAATGACAATTGATAATCGTCCTGCTGTAACACACTTTCGGTGCACAGCAGCCATTCCAGCCGAAGGAAGCACAAGGGATGAGATAATTCCAGGTTACGCAAGAGCAGTCGGGATATCGGGACTGAGTTCGAATCATGGATCTTCCGGTCAGTAATTTCGTGCCTTAACCACTGAGCTGTCCGGAGCTCTATGGATCTAATGGGAATAATGAACTGATTCCATATCAACTAGGTGGAGACCAAGCTAATCGACTGCAGAAACTGCGGACTGAATGGTTGATTTCAGTGGTTACTGCACATTATGACAAAGAATCAAATAGAACTCAAGGTGTGGGAAGTATTCAGTCTTATCATTCTCGATGTTCCTAAAATACCAAGTTATTCTAGACGAATGCGGAAGTGATAAGCTCTGCAGTATTTCACTCATGTACCACACATGTATTGCTTACGATTAACCTTATTCATATGGTCGTATAAAACAGCTGATTAGTCTGCGTTACCTAGCAATTGTTTAGTAAAATAGAAACATACGTCTGTTTACACACTAGGTAAATGGAATAAGTGGTTCGTTTGTGAGGTTCTCTCTGGGTCCTAAAGTTTCAGTGGACCGCCTGAGCGTGTTCCCTTCTGTGTAGTGGTCTCCTCAAACAACTATGTCATTATTTCTGACTGGAACTGAATGCCGTCAGTGCACACCGTGTGTCGCCACTACGTCATCTCCACAATGCACAACCATGGTTGACCTATGATACTAGTGAAAGGAAGAAGGCCTTCGCTGCGGAGTTATTTATTAGGAAATGCCAACTGACCGTTTACAGACCATTGAACAGGGAAGCAAAACTCTAATTTGCATCTTATTTACAAAAACTGGACACCCATCTTCTCCCGAACGCGTCTTCATGAAATTTCCTGGAGATTCATTGACTCCACTAATTCGTCGGTCAAATCCAAGCAAATGTTACAAAGTGGCTCCATGAATTCCGCAACAGATCTCCCCTTTTCAAAAGACGCAAAGCGAAATTCTACAAACAACACATACTACTCGCGTGCCTCCCCATCAGTAGTATCGCCGTTACACCAGGACATTTAAACTCATTCTTCTTTCACTGGTCACAGTGACGTCCTCTTGCACATTGTCCGATTTAATCTGACCAAATCGGCCAGCCGCAATGGGGCAAAGTTCGTCGGTTTCTTAATCGATTGGCTCGAGCGCTAATATATTGATCATTTCACTGATATGGTTTTTACGGAAGCCATCCTACAACTTCCCCTCCCTGCCCAGTTATCCGACCGAATTGGATTTGCACGAGGAGTGGTTATTTTCTGTCGACCGCGTCTCCGCTGCTCTATCGGGGGCGGGCTATGACATAAGCAATCTATGCAAACCTTATCATCCGGTCTACGTGAAGCTGTATGACTCCATTAATCCTGATCCACTACAGCATGGAAGTGGTACCGTGCCTGGAGGACGACTGCAGCTAATTCTGGGAGGCCTGGAAGCCAATCCGAGTTACGGTGTGCCTGGACAAGAACAAATACCCAATATCGCTTCCAAAACACCCTTCTTCGATCCTTCCAAGTCTGGATGGGTTAATGAAGGTGTACCATCCAACGTTAGAGATCGAGGTTAGTTGATAGTGGTGTGTGATTTTACCTGTTCAATGTGACGGATATGTGATACCTCAGTTCAGCAGTTGCTGCACTAATGTTTAATTGATCTGAGTTTATGCCCCGCTTGGGACTCCGTCTCTCCGTCTTTGAGCAGGACGCACATTGCCTCCTGAAGAGTTTAAGGGACGTACTAATGTGACTAGAAGTCTGTCAACTCATTTTCTGCTCTGAATGCAAGTGACAGCTAGGCATAACTTGGTCTAGCGCCCGCTTAAACTTTTCTTAGTTTGTGAAGCAACCTTGGGCAGTGCTACAAGTGTGCTGTGGATTCGAACAATTCGTAAATAAGATTTTCACTGATATTGATAAAACTGATTACTGAGTGCACGTGTATGTATGGCGGTGCCCAGGATCTCTTGAGAGGTGTTGACATTTCGCATATCCTTTCAACTCCGCGGAAGCATTGGACAGCATGCAGCTACAATGACCTCAGCGCAGTGCGCTTGGTGACGGCTGATCGGCCATACTCGAGCGGAATACTCTTCTCTCAAGCTCGTGTGAGGAGAACACAGAGTAGTCTAGTGCTGTATTGTTGAGAGTTGTTGATCGCAGCTACTGAAGCTACGTGAAGAGTTGCAGAAAAATATGCAGCCAACAGGCTCAGGCGGATGCCCATCGCATTGGAATGTCGGTGCAAAGGGACGACTGTCAGAAAAATTAGTAATACTAAGGTTTTCAGTGAAGTTCTAAAGACATCACGCCGCCATATCCGCAAGATGCAACAAAATACCATGTACTAGCTACAGGTGGAACAGAAAATCGATGATCGCACATCCAACGCAGAAGTGAGCCTGCATAGTTGCCCTGACTTCACTAATCACAACGATCTCACGGTGCTATCAAGTGGTTTGTAGTACATGCTCTACAGCACATGCTATGGTTGAATAAGATATAGCGGTGACTGTTGTATGCGTTTCCCGAGCTATCACCTGAAGTCGTTTGATGGAGTTAGAATCTACCACCACCCTATCAATCTCTCTCGGTTTCACACATTTTTACAACTAATTTGATGCTACTGAAAATTCCGCTCAATGCGTTAAATATAGACCAATAGGAGTTGTATGTGCAAAAACAATCCTGCAAGCACTTTCGAGCTCGAGATATTTCGGTTATTAAGGTGCGAACTTACCAACCGGAAGCTCCGGGGTTCGAACCCAGCCTCAGCATCTGGACTGCTCCTATATAGCCTCATGTTTTCCTGGGGTGGCATGGTATTGATGTTACATCTGAACGATTATTGCTTACTTGGTTGCGTTGAAAACCGGCCTTGGTTTGACCATGCTTTCGAAGAACAAAAGGCAAAAAAGAAATCTGGAACTAATTCTGGTCTTACATGCACCGCATGTCATTCGGGAACACAAAGCGAGTCTGCGAACATCATCAAGCTTCCCGTTCAAGTCAATCTTGTGGCACTGTTACTGCAAAACTATAATTCGACAGTAAATCCCTAATCCAGGTATTTTATTTTGTCATCGTTTGCTTCGGCAGCATTGCGGATTAGAGCTGAGCGATAGTCAGAAACATCCACAGCGATATAATACACATAGCATGCGCCGGTGCACCCTCATACCACAAAGGATAAGGCCGGAGTGTTCTACAACTGTGGGAAATTTATCGGATATTCCTGACCCTCTTTTTACGATGCCAAGTGCCTCATCATTATTGAAACGCTATTTTCATAGGTTAGTGAAATTCTGTATGTTTTTTGGACGGAATGGCTGTATGCTAATGCATGACAACCGTTTTACTTGAATATCGCTCATCATTCCTTGGAAATGGTATACACCAGTTAATCTAGTGTGGCTTTATCGTCATCTCTTCTCTGCACCACTAGCGCTGACCTAGAAGTCAAGCTGGTCATTATCCTTAGGTCCATTGCAAATCCCACTGCTTAGTTGCCTATCAGGAAGAATTTTAATGATAGTTTCTGTTGTTCACTCGGTAGATCGTGACTCTGGGCTTGGTGTCTTGCGCTCGGAAAGCAGCTATTCCCTCACCGACAGTTTGTATTCTCAGACGGATTCTGCAAAGGTACGTACAACAATCACCGATTGGGTTTTGTTTTGGTACTTCCGTCCTTCAAGTTACTGTGCCCTACCTTTTTTTGGGTCGGCTCCTTGTCTGCTAATCATTCAGTCGTTTTTACGCTCCTGGCTTGAGGGCAGTTACCGTACCACTTTAAAGTCAATGAAATCGCTGTCGATCGATAAATCACGTAGCGGATCTTACTGACGCTTCCTTCTGAAACTGAGGTATTATAGCTTTTGGTCTAGCCAGCAATAACTTGCATTTTTAACTACAGTTGAAATCCTTCTTCTTTACAGAAAAACGTCACATGGAAACTATTAACTTTTGTCCCGTCTGTTCATATTTTATGAGAATATTCAGCCGAAAACCAACCTATGCTAGTAGTGCTCATTGTGGACTCTTGGTCACCCATACTACATAAACAATATATCGACTGAATAAATCACAAGAACCTTGGTCGTCACGGAAAACAGAATACACTCAACGTTATGGTCCACATGATCAAATTTTTTTATCTCACGTGTCCCATTATTTCTTTATCGTTCCAGGCCGTGGATGAACTTTTGTGCTTTAGAAGTATGCAACGAATTGTTAGTAAGTGTATTTTTTTACAGTGGTATGATCATGACATGTGTGCGCGATTTATTCATGCGCCAGGTGTATCTCTTCTTGTTTTATAAGGTGACCCGGCTGTGCTTTCCATTTTGCTCTTACGTGTAATTCCCCAACGGTTTCAACTCTTGTCTGATGAGTCAACATTGCATGGTTTCTTTGTAGACCATAAATGGCTCAAATCAAAATTTGCCTATTTTGTAGTCCTAGTTTTTGCTGGTGTGGGGAAACCGATCCGGTATAGTTCGTGCAGATGAGGTGTATCCGCTCGCATAGCTAAGGGATTAATAACACCATGATTAGAACACCGAACTTGCCGCTACGCGTCAAGTTGGGATAGGTCAAACCTATCACCTTGGTTGCTTTACACTTTTGCGGAACATTTATGCATGAAGTTTGATGGTGAAAATGAATGAAGACACTAACATTATCATTATCATCATCATCATCAAAGACAGGAACATCAGTGTTGGCACTGATGCTTCACCGCCGTAAAGACACTAACAGTCAACCTGTTTTTTCTTTGCCGTGGTTCAAAATTCAATAGCGTGTATCAGTCGCTTTTTGTGACGCCATCCCGTTGCTTTTCACACATTGCCATGTTAATGACGTAAATTAATGATCCTCAGTCTGATGTTGCGTCCTTACTGAGGCGTCTTGCCTGCTATGAAGGACTGCATTTAGTCGTGGTGCATTATTTTGTCCACCTCTATGACCAGTTGGACTACGAGTCGTCGTCATCATTATTGACAGCATAACATCAGTGTTCAACACCGATGCTTCACTGCTGTGAGTATCACTATTAAACTCACAGTCCCTCTATCGGGTTAATTAATGTATTGAATTCTGACGAACTGGACCTGGTCCTCCACGTGAAGAGCTGGATGGTTGCATGAAGTTTGTGACTATGTCAGCATCTGTCAGCTGTTTTGCAACAAAGGCTTCGACTGGATACGTCAGTCTATTTTGTACGGATCCGTACAAACAGCGCTGTCGACACCGATGTTGCTGTCTCTAATGAAAGTATCTTGATATTCATATCGAGATATCCAAAATGAACCGCTTTCATAGCACCCAAGTTCGTCTGACGTATGTCATTACCAAACATACAAAAGATTTTCTGTCCTGTCTTTTGGGAGCCTTGTACACCACCTTTTGTTTCCGTAATTCTTTCCTACAGCAAATTGACTGAGACGACTTTGTCACTCGTTAACTATTTAGCAATGCTCGTCAGGTTCGTTTCTGGTAGATGGTTGTTGCAATTTTATTGATTTCCTGCCGACAAGGTTCTTCATAGTTATCCGTATATTCTTCTCTTTCTACTTCCCTTTAATGTCTACTAATAACGCATATCGTGTTTCTTTATATTGCTGTTACCGCTTCTAACATCACTTGTCTGTTGGGTAGGCGAGCTACCGGTAGACAAGACCCCATCATCTATTAGCATGGGCACGTCTGCCTCTCGGAGGCGTAAATGTGAGTTTCACGTGTGTTTGTGTGAGTGCGCGCCTGCCTGTGTGTGTGTGTGGGTCCTGTTCAGATTATTTGTCGCATGCCGTCAATAACACGATATGAGGTTTTCTGAAATTATTTCGCAACACGTTCACTTGCACAGTGTACGGTACTTTCACTTGATCAAATTCGAGAGAGTGTGCGTAATTTGCCCTTGTGTAAGTGGACATTCTCCCGCAGAATTCATCGGACGGTTGAAAGTTAACTTGCGATGAAAGAATTCAGTTCACTCATTGTCGTAACGATAGCAGTTCCTGCCAGTTCCATCATTTGTGTTGTCATAAGAGGCATTCCGGAAGCTGAACGGTCGTGTACATAGAAGACTGTAAGAAATATTTGACTTTGCGGACTGCACAACATTGGCCATCCTTTCTGAAGACCCCAAAGGCTTCTGAACATTTGATCATCGGTTGCATGTGACTTTAACTGGCTGCAGCGCGTACACAAGCGGGCGGTGCGTATGTTAGTACCTGGTAATGGATCAGATACCATGGAGCAGCAAGTAAGTATTGTCAAACAAAAATCGTTGGAAAGTGTTTCATGAATGCCCAACGCAAAACAAATTCGTTGTTTTCGGCTCCCAATGCTTACGGTTGGAAAGCTTCACAGAAGCCGTACCATAACGTGCCAATCCGGAATAAATGTGGCTGTAGTCAAACTCTGTTTGTGTGGTCCTTGCACGTAGTTAAAAACTGTACGTAACTGGTTCTTAGGACGAGCATGTTGTCGCTTCCCAACGGTACCGCCTGGTTGAAATTTTTGTAAGTAAGGCTTAGATGTGTTTATTTTGTCGCTGTCTGGAAGGGTAAACACTCGTTCTTGGTTGTTGCCCTGTAGGACATAAGGCTTTCTGCAAGAAGTCTCCGCGCTTCCTCTTTCCTTTGACACTTCACTTAGGGCACTGTTTCCTTGTAACCCAACCGTCAAACTCGGTGAACGGAACATCATGCACCGTTCTTTCCTCATAGATGTCAGTTAATCATTAGGATTACTGTCGGTGGTAGTAACAACGTGCTCATTAATGTTTTGATCACACGACCTGAAACACTCCGATAATGTGCACTGTGTCGAAAAAGATAAGACCATATCATCTTGAATGAAACGGAACTAACGCTGGTCCTTTTGTTGCACCAACCTGGTAGCTTTCTGAAGAAAGTAGGGTCAGGCCTTGCCCTGTACATTCTTATTCCGGAACTGGACCATGTGTCTGACGGGCAATGCACAAAGATATGTTGGAATATGTGGGACTGTGTTGTTTCTTATTATCATGAAAGCGTTATTCGAAGCAGACGTAACTTTGATCCAGTCTAGAACAGATGAGAATACATGGAATGAGCAGCCAGAAATGCAAAGGAAATTCTCACACTCAAACTTTTTGGGGTCACTGACTACTACTCCAAGTGGTGTGCGAAGATCACCGGGTAAGATAAGGAGTGACATGAGTATACGGTATAAGTAATTGAATTAACTATGATCAAGTTCGACGTCTGGGCCCAGAAAGCTGCTTACCACTATCGGCACAATCAATACAATGGAACTTCGTTCTGCGTACCACAGTATTGCACACTTCACAATGACAAATAAGGAATAGCCAAGTTCGGCTGTCGCGGAAATCCTGGTGCGCTGAATTAGGTAACGGTCCTGCTCCACAGAAACATTTGTTCGGATCATTAACTGGAAGTAGGTCTAATGTTGATGCATAGCATCGTCTTTTCGCATGCCTTCAAACGTATCCAATTAGGTAACGGTCCTGCTCCACAGAAACACTTGTTCCGATCATTAACTGGAAGTAGGTTTAATGTTGTTGCATAGCATCGTCTTTTCGCATGGCTTCAAACGTAGATGGCCCAATTGGTTAGAGCGCTAATTTACCGACCGGAAGGTCTGCGGTTCGAACCCGACCTCTGCCTCTTGACTTCCCTTGTTTAGGCTTAGGCAACCTAGCATTATCCCAGCCCTCATGCAACCTTCGGCTGGCATGGCAGTTCGGTTCCGAAAGGGTCTTACGGCTGAACGATCCAGCGTATCTGAATAAGTCTTGTTATTTGCACGGTTTTGAGTGCATAGTCGCCTAAGTTGCAGCTGAATAATGAGGAGCGTTTTGTAGGCTGCAAGTTCACAGTGTAGACGAACTCAGACCGTTCTTATTCAAGGGGATGCTAGCGTTCTTCTTGCCTGCTATTATTGAATGGCTATGTGGTTTGGATACTTCCGAAAAACTACGCTAGGTCTATACTCGTCACAACCGAAAAAAACCGCGTTGACCACATGTGGTACGTTGACTGATTTCTCGACTATCCAAAGGTAGCTTTCATGATAAATATTACGATGGGATCTAGAAAAGCAATAAACTAAACTAACCGCAAATTGAGTGACCATGTCAAGCATTTATTGACCTTAGTCGGGGGAAGCTTTTTCCGGTTTTTCTCACCACACCTGTTTGTGTACATGTGGAGACAGTCTTTGGTTTGCCACTTTGATGTACGAGCTTTCAGTATGTTACTATCGGACTGGTTTTGATTGATCGCCCACCGCATCCTGTTCAATTCCCACAACGCCATCAAAAGTGGGGAAGTTCAGCGCTACTTTCTAATGACAGCCATTTTCAACCAATGCGTCAGGATAATCGCTTAAACATTTTCGGGGCATCTTAAATAGGTTGCGAACAAGTTTCCACCAATCTTTGTTGATGTGCCTGTTCAACCGTGTATTCAGTTGTTGCCGTGCTGCGTTCACTGCAAGCCATCGTGAAATCGAAAACGATTGACTTCTGATCATCTGTGAACCTCAGCTCTCACTGACTGCTTTTCCACAATGGATTTGATTTTGACGACTGAAAATTTCGCGTGCGCAAGTTGAATCTAACCTTCACATCCACACTGCAATTTACCTTCTCATACTCTCCTTACTTCACCCAATTCATTCACCTAGTTCGTTCGGTTTTCCTTTACACGGGAACTAATTGGTGAAAGAATGAAGTGACCCTAACATTTATTGGTGGTGTGGTTGTGACTCTCCATTCATATGTCCCTTGTTAACGACTTTTGGTTTGCTTCAAATCGGTTTCAACTCTGACTCCGCTTGAAGATTTGAATGAATAATGTATGACACTTACCTTCTTTTTTGGTGTTGAGTGTACAAATTGTGAAGGTGGTCACAGCGTCACAGAGACACTGGTAGTCTGTTCCGAACTGTGTAACTATCAATCCTTGTTTGTTCTTTGGTTATCGGAAAAGCACAGTGATAAACGAACCCTTTCTTGTTTCCAACGAGATGAATTCTCTGGTTCATCTTTCCCTCCCTACTGTTTANGATGAATTCTCTGGTTCATCTTTCCCTCCTTACTGTTTATTCAGGTGAAGGCCATGACAAGAGAAAAAGTGGCCGTGCTTTGGAGGAAGAAGATCGGCTTTTACACTCATACAATACTGATTTCAGCGACATTTTTGTTCAGCAACGTGACAAGGTGAGTTTTTGACCGTGTATATGCATGCCATAAGTAACAGTACAATATTCGTACAATCTGTATTCACTGCTTACTGAATGGAGTTCTGTATGCTAGAATCACCGTTGGTGCCCGCATTTGGCTGGTGAACGCTGATGCTTGCTTACCGTACAACAGTGTGGCTGTCTTGTTTAAGAAGCCACTAGGTTTGTGTTTCCAATATTTTTCGGGAAGGCTTTGTGGTGTGAAGACAATCTGCAAAGTGGTATTCATTGCGGAAAAACTGGAAATCGCGGATCCATGGGTTTACTTTTGTGGGAGAGGACTGGGAAATCTTGATTGCATTTCATCTCCGACCCAGCACAGTTGTTTCAACTACCGACTGCTTCTTGGCGTAAGTTGACTTCGAATATGGTACGAAATCCTCGTCTCATACTGTTAACAAAAGTTCCGAACATAGGCGAAAATGACACGTCGCTGTAAATCCACAGGAACACATTGTAGCGAAATCGACAAAAGCTATGAAATCGGGTGTTCGAGTTCCCGGAATCCATGTGTAACAAGGTAAAAAGCTGGATGTTCCTTTGGAAAATCTGCAATCAAGCTGCAACATTGTAGCGAAATCGACAAAAGCTATGAAATGGGGTGTTCGAGCTCCCGGAATCCATGTGTGACACAAGGTAAAAAGCTGTATGTTAATTTGGAAAATCTGCAATCAAGCTGCAACATGTTTGCAAACGATCGCAACTTTAACGCATGGTACACATTCTCCACAGCATTTTAGTTTCAGTCATCAGTTTAGCTGTGGTTATCCTGTGTGTGTTCGTTAGGCGCTTCCACGTGCTCATTGGGTTGTCCAACAGACCTACACCGGACTTTTCACATGACTCACTTATTAGGGTACATCTTCGACTGTACTTGTCTTGTGTTTGTGTGCGTACGTGAGCACCTTTGTGGTGTCGTTCAGCAACGCCCACCTTAGCGTCTTTCCGTTCACTGCGCTGTCACTCTGTCATGCACTCGTGGTTGGTTTCGTCTCTGGGAGTGTGAAAACGTAAATTCCGCCAGCTTCCCTTCTTCATTTACGTATGCTACTAAAACGAATAGTGGGGTATTCGAGAAAATATATCGCCAAGAACAAATGTATACACACAAGCTGTTACCAGGCCACTTTTGGGTTATTGAACTCCTTGAAGGTGTTGTGATTTAGGTTGGTTTTTGCAAACCTGCTGCGTGATACGCCGAACATAATTTCCCTTATATTTGTGGTATGGTTTCCTTCCTTCTTATGGTAGTCGTGCCTGCCCTCCCACTACATGAAGACTGGATTCACCATGGGCAATCTGCTGTCCTATACCTTATTTGTGCAAATTTGTGCTCTTGATAATAGGTAGCATTACACAGGTATATCACAGTAGAACGCAGTCCCATGTTGATCCGCAAACTCGCCTACGAGGTATCACCAAGCACACACAGCTATGCTCTTCTATACTCAATGGCCGGACAGTGGGTTTTCAGAACCCCGTGAGACTTTTCAAATATCACCTCCAAGTATTAACAATGTGCTTTCGGAATCTTGGGGGTAATTTATACGGACTGATCCTCACCATATCTTTTGCTAATTTTAAAATCCGGACTTTAGGCAGGCAGTTTTAGTTAACGAAACGGCACATTTCCTAATTTTTATTGCGTAACTTGCCATTTGTTACCGCTGTGTTGCCAATTCGGATCGTTTGTTAGCCTTTGGTCACATTTCACTTCATACCTAGTAGACGCAATGTCGATCGAACATTGTCGGTGTTTTTCAACTCACAAAGTTAATCGATCCGTTTGCATGCACAATAATTCAGACACAATTTAGTGGAGAATGTGCGCAGTGGCAGGAAGAACTGGTTTGTTGTCTGGTAATGGTAAGTGCCAGGTTTCGAGACCAGTTAGCAGCCGAACTCCATTAGCCCTCATCAGGTGTGTTTTGAGTTTCTGCCCCGCCTACTTAAATGCTTTTCATCTTATCTGTGTGTGCTGCTGTCCTTGGTTTACTGTTCGATTTATCTGGGGGGGTGCGTCAGGTTGATCAGTTGCTTTCACATTTTTGAACTTCAAAGTTTTCTTGCTGTTAAAACATACGTCAGTGATATTTGTAATTCTTTGGCGATATTGTGGTCATTCTATAGACAGATTGAAGTCGCTCGTTTCTTGGCGGTGTTTGTCCCTGAGAGAACTAGTGTAATCATAAATGCGGTTTCCGTCATTCAGGCGATATCGATCGGCTGGTTAATACTGACCTTGTCCGCTTAGAGAATCGGTTTTATTGGGTGTCAGTGCAGTTACTCTCTTCGCTGGAGTGCACTACTGGCCTTTTGAAGGATTTGAGAAGCCTTACTCAACATTTGAATACCAAAGATCGATACGTTCATCAGGTACGCGATGAAGGGCTGACATCTGTACAGTACTCACAGGTGTCCCCATATAGAAAAGCCGCCTGAAGGGCCGGCTGATAGTGATATTCTCTCGGAGAGGAATGAACGTTGAAAGGGACTTCAATGGAACAGCTAAAGTTGATTTCGTCTGAGGGTGGTCTGTAGGTAGAGGGGACGACGACGGTAGTCCTTTATGGGGTGCGCTGTGGTCAGTTCACTCGACCATATTTTTGTTTCAGGTGTAGAAATGGCAGTCAAGTATCCCATGACTTCCGCAGCGATCTTTACCCCTTTAGAAGTTTGCGATTATTTGTCGTCAGAGTCTCTGAGAGTTAATAGGTCTCCTTGTATTAGTACGCATTCTTTTGTGTTTGGTCACTCTTGCGGGCCTAAGAAAAAAAAGGAGGTAAAGTCCTCAACTCTGAGTTGTTAGTTAATGTTCGTTTTATTCCAACCATGAAATGACGCCCGAATAACGTCTACATGTGTTGGCCTTTAGTTCCTTTAGAACTTTTATTGGTTGTTCTTGCACTTACATGTACCCAATCTATTGCATTTGTTAGACCATCTCTGCACGTGCGCAACTTGCCGAGATCATGGATGACATATCGGTCGAACTCCACTCGGGTCCGAATGACACTAACTTCAATCAACGCAAATTGTTTCCACGAGACTCTCCTTCAGAGTTGGATCAGGCCTCACGTTCGAAATTCGATTTTTTATCCCCGACTACCGGTGGACAAGGCAAGCGGAAGAAAGATCAGCAACGAGCCCCAGCCACTTGGGAGCGTGATTATGGCTCTTTATTTACCAGCTAGCTGAATCCATTACTCCTAGATCTAGCCAATCCCAAACTGTGATCATTAATCTGGCGATTTTTATGGATTATACGATGGCAAGACGTTCCTCACTTGTATGGATAAAGTTGATTTCGTCTGAGGGTGGTCTGTAGGTAGAGGGGACGACGACGGTAGTCCTTTATGGGGTGCGCTGTGGTCAGTTCACTCGACCATATTTTTGTTTCAGGCGTAGAAATAGCAGTCAAGTATCCCATGACTTCCGCAGCGATCTTTACCCCTTTAGAAGTTTGCGATTATTTGTCGTCAGAGTCTCTGAGAGTTAATAGGTCTCCTTGTATTAGTACGCATTCTTTTGTGTTTGGTCACTCTTGCGGGCCTAAGAAAAAAAGGGGGTAAAGTCCTCAACTCTGAGTTGTTAGTTAATATTCGTTTTATTCCAGCCATGAAATGACGCCCGAATAACGTCTACATGTGTTGGCCTTTAGTTCCTTTAGAACTTTTATTGGTTGTTCTTGCACTTACATGTACCCAATCTATTGCATTTGTTAGACCATCTCTGCACGTGCGCAACTTGCCGAGATCATGGATGACATATCGGTCGAACTCCACTCGGGTCCGAATGACACTAACTTCAATCAACGCAAATTGTTTCCACGAGACTCTCCTTCAGAGTTGGATCAGGCCTCACGTTCGAAATTCGATTTTTTATCCCCGACTACCGGTGGACAAGGCAAGCGGAAGAAAGATCAGCAACGAGCCCCAGCCACTTGGGAGCGTGATTATGGCTCTTTATTTACCAGCTAGCTGAATCCATTACTCCTAGATCTAGCCAATCCCAAACTGTGATCATTAATCCGGCGATTTTTATGGATTATACGATGGCAAGACGTTCCTCACTTGTATGGATTAACTGTCAGTCTCTCCGGCCAGATAATCCATAGTTTGTTACAATGTAAGCATTTTCTATGCGCGTGTTACTTCCTCTCCCTCTCGATACCGTTGTTTTAAACCCTTTATAATCACCCAACTGATAGGTATGAATCCAGTCCACTGTTTACCTATAAGATGCGCGAGTTTTGTTTTATCTCGGATTATTTCATCCTGTATATAGTGCTGCATTGAAACATACTTGTCCACTGTCCGTTTGTGATTGATGGCTTATCTGGGTGAGCTAAATTTATCTAGTCAGGCTCAATGTTATAGACTTACCTTAGTTTATGTTAACGTAGACCATCAGAGTTTCCTTGTTAAATTTCCGTGGTCATTGAAAAGAATAAAGTCTGGACTGTGGTGAGCTATAGTGAGGGTGAAACAGGTAACGAACACTTAGCTCATTATAACTGAGCAAAATGTCATGGAATTCGAAAAAAGTTCCATTCTTCTATCTTTCACCAACACCGTTTTTGTGCACTGAGCTTTCACCACAAATCTTTGCATGCATCGGAATGTTGCCAAAAACGCTGTCGGTCACAGGTGGTACATAACCCCCAAATGCTTATTAGGAAGAGGAAATAGCTGAGATTGTTGTACTCGCTAGAATTTTGTTTTTCTGCATGAAATGACCGGTTATACTTAGGTGTCGCATTGATTTCATATGCAGTAAATAAGGATTTAATGTGAAAATTTGGCTCACGGGTTTAAACATATTGTCCGTATAGCCCTCTGTACGGTGAGCATACTTTAGAATAGTCAATGGACTATCCAACTATTCGAATCACCGATTCAACTTTGTATTCGTAAGCTTTCCTCTGAACTAGTTTAATGTGTTGTAAACTACCGAAGTGGATGACGGCGGTTATGATCCGCCCCAAAGGTCTCGAAAAAGCGAGATTGGCCTTAATAGGGAATGTAGTTCCAGGTTTGAAAACTTGCGGTTGTCATTCACACACACATAGCCGTACAAAAGAGTTGTTACAGCGGATTCGCTGGATGGATGGGGCACCGCGATGCGTTTGTTGCGCTGATCATCGCTATCTGGTGTTCGGCGGCGCATTAGAGACGCCTGTTTACTGTCAATGACTGATCACACATCCCATACCAACCACCGAATCGGAAGCTTCATGAAAACTAGTCGGGTCGTTGTCCGACCTGGAGAGCTCCCTTGCAGGGTAAATTCCACATTTCCTCTTGCAGTAGGGCTGTGTGATGCATCACCGAATACCCCTCGATAGTGAATTCGTGGAAAATTGATGTCTCAGAAATCGTTTCATAGCCTCATAAACAGTCTACCCAAGTCCGTGCATACTGGTGTGCGACTAGTGAGTGAGTTCTTTTTACCCAGCTGACCAAGCGAATGTGAAAAAACAAGGCGTGCGACCTTAATCTTATCAATTGCGATATACCAATGTTAGTCACTTTAGCGTCGACTGTAAGTGTGGCTAGACAATCAGTAATATCTACAATGGCCCAACGTCTAGACCTCAATTACAATGTGAATAGATCTTTACTTGGTCTATATCCCGGACGAACATCACTAAGGTGACAGAAACGAATGTTCTAACCAAGTGGAGCTGAACATGAGAGCCAATCTGTGTTAGTACGGTGTGGTTAATTGGTGGTGTGTTTTAGCCCCCAAAACAGTTCATTGCAAACACAGTGATCTAATTACAAATGGCGTTTTACCTAGTTAATTAATTTACTTTAATAGTCGTCACGCGAGAAAATGGCTATTGTTGCTAATTTCATACGTTAGTGTAACCAGTCAGAATTAACATCTAATTAGTTCCGAAACAGATCAATTCAAGAACTGAAACGACGAAAGGAGTGGAAGGACCGAAATTCTTTCGACAGTCTGACTCTGAAGATCTGATCAGTGAGCCTCGTGCTGTGCCCTTAGTGGTGCGTTGTACGAAACTTCTGGAGAGTGCTAACTTTGATGCGTGTGTTGACTGGGTGTTTTCAAGTGAGAATCAAGATACCGATACTTTCCAAATAGTATTTTGATTCCTGCCGACATCAGATACCTGTGGGACCGAATTTATATCGCCCAATGTTCAGATTAGTCGTTTCAAACAGAATTTGCAATTTTGAATTGGATTAATCTGCTGAGACAACTAAGTCACGTGTTCGGCAAGCACGCTGCAAAACCTAGGCTTCATGCATTCACATCAGAATTATCTGCTCAGTAACATTTGGATACTCATGCCCCCGCATTTCTAGTCAAACCTGCGGAAGCTCCAGGCAGAAAAATCTCGCACCTAGTCACGATTTATCCGTAAAATTCTGTAGCAATGAAGATGAATTTCAAATTACGGTTCCTCGTCTCCTTGGTACTTGTTATAACGTGAAATGTGTATACAGATCCAGTGACTTGCATGGAGAGCTTCTCGCTTTTTATAAGGAGCCCCCACCTAGCGGACACCCTGGAGGTGACGAAGGAACCGATTCCAACCCAGAAAAAGTGTGATCGTCAATGCCAACAAAACGTCCCATAGATTGAGCACGAAACGCTGCAGCCATTGAATAGAAACCAATGCGTAACAATCCATTGTAGCTGACTTTCAAAAACCTCATTTCACTCACTGGGTAAACTAGAATGCAATGTGTCAAACTAAATCGAGAAGAGCGACTAAGTTTTCGGCTAGAACCATAGATCACACCACTCGTTCTATCGGATAGATTCTACCGACGACTTCCATCGGGCCATGCCAGCAACTGGCGACTACGGTGGCGTGCGCATGAAGAATGACAGGACGCTGGTGGATTTTGAAGGACCAGATGGAGAAGGCTTCCGCTGCAGGCTATAGCCGCACCGTTTCAACTGATTCGATCAACCGGTCAAAAGAAGGCAGGTGTCAGTGAAACAATATGAGAAAGAAAGAAAGCGTTCAGCTGTAGCACCCTTCCGGTGCCTAGCTGCCATGCCACCCGAAGGAAGCACGAGGGCTAGGATACTGCCAGGTTGCCCAAGCCTAGACAGGGGAAGTCGAGTGGCGGAGGTCGGATTCGAACCACGAACCTTCCAATCAGTAAATTCGCGCTCTAACCACTTGGGCTATCTCGCCCCGAAACATTATGTAGGAAAGGTGGAACGGCAATTTACTCATACGATCGTCGTCTTGAGCGATGGGTTGATCACTTCAAAGAACGGTTCAGCTAGTCTCCTTCAACACAGCCTCTGGAAGAACCCAAACTCAAGCCTCATGTAGGCGAGCCAATCAACGTGGTAGATAAGTGTTTATCTGGGGGAGTTGTATAAGTTCCAGTGGACTGGCTGGAGTGTAGTTTTTACCAACCTCCTACATCTGTGGCTCCGACGTGACGTACGTTTGTCCCTCGAGGGTAGAGTTCACACTGTGGAGGTGCCATCAGTATTACTTCATGGGTCAGAGACGTGGCCTCTATGTGCAGAGGAACGCGAAAAATGTTAGTGTTTGACCATCGGTGCCTCCGAAGCATTGGAACGGTCTGGTGGGAACGTCAGATAGCCAGATGGTCCCGAGGAGAAGGAACTCTCCTGCGATCGATGAATTACTCACGCTCCACAGGTTACGGGAGTTGGGACACATTCCGAATGCCGCCAGCCTCGCAGAGCTCTTTCGCCCAACCCTGTGCTGAGTGCAAGCGACAGCGAGGTGTACAGTGTACGACCTGGCACCGAAGTATGGAAACACTAACCAGTAAACTGCGTTAGGTTGACAACTGCCGCCTCCCTCGATGGGGACCCCGGGGAAACTCGCCAACGGTTAATGACACTGGTGGAATGGCCCAATCACGGTCAGCGGCGCTCGTGTAGCAAAGCTATCACCTCCAAGGCTTGGCTGTATGCCTCACGTCCTACTTTCCGGTGATCGAAACTGTAGCAGCTGGAACCAATATGCCTGTGGTACACAGTGTATAGGTGATAAATTGATTGACCGTTTGCGTCCGGTTCCATTTGAACACCAGGATTTTGAAGACATTCTAGCATTCGTCTCGAAGCGACTTTCTTTCAGAGGTACGGTTTATCGCTCATTTGTTGACTTAATTACCAGCTCAGACACCCTTGTGTAGATGGGTACCAACCAAAAACACGAGTTCGCTTTATGCCTACATATACCTGGGATTGCAAGGTAGTGTTAATAACAACGATTCGTTGGGCATTTCCACGTCTTTTTCCCAGATGGCTGGCAAATGATCTATCTTATCTCCCGTCACAAGCGACGAACGACTCAGCTATCGAGACAGCTGAGGAAAATGTGATGAACCCAGAGATTTTTCAACATTGTTGATACCTTTACCTGACTGCAGTTTTTCTGTAGACTATTGGCTAAGACACTAACAACACCTGAAAGTGCAGTGCTCTCGAACGGCTACCGCCTTACTAAGCTTTGTAAGTCAGGCTTTTTGTGAGTCAAGCTTTGTAAATACACAGAAAGCCGAATGCTTCAAGTGCCACATCTCGTAGCCATATAGAAACCAGTTCCCGACAACATAACTATTGCGGTTGAATTTAACCTCGAAAATCTAGGTAATTCTGGTGAAGCACATATATTCGATTAAAAGTATCGTGCACATATCTTCTCGGTTGAAGGCACATGGATATAGATCTATAAACCGTTTTCACTGAAGCCAATCTGCATTCTGAAAAACTAAACTGAAAAGTCTTCAGCAGTATTGTACTACATCTATACAATCATGATATCGTACCGAAACATGAGGCGGCTTGGTGGAGCATGTTTAGTTGCTTAAGAACATGATAAACGAGGGATTCAGCTGGGTTCCAGGAGTCACGTCAAAACCCAATTGACATACGAATGAGTGTATACACCCTGTTCTTGATAAGCTTTTCGGAATTCGAAGTTTCTTCACTAATTTTCCACCCCACCCTGCATTCCATTACTCAACTTCATTGTGGCATGGCAATTGGGTGGCTGTTTCCGCTGCTGACTGACACCACTGACATACCCACTAAAACCGTTGGGATGCGGATATATCTTAAAATGGAACTATTACACGATTACTTATGTTCAAATCAAGGAGCTGGAAGAGTAGCGTTAATAAGGATGAACTAAGACTAGATGTGACTCTTGGGAATATAGTAAGGATCATATAGAAAACTGACTGGTAACGAAGAGATTCCGAATTTGAATCTGTCCACCAAGAGTGGCCACGTCCTAACTAGTCCAGGAGCCATTGGTGCGTCGGCTTGCATTCTAACCTCACCGTTCACACGTGTCATCCGGCGACTGAAACATGTGAAATTTACATGAAGCGTAATCCCAAGTATTGACCTCCCTGGTCCCTAAAATCAGCCGCGTAGCTATTCAGCGTCGCCAACGGCCTATACACAACGGATGAGGCCTTGTGATGCTAATCTAATTTCTTTAATCTACCAATTGCTTGAAAGAGGACCGAGCGCAGTCAGTGGAAATGCAGAACACCCAAAATTGTGGTTTATAAGCTTTAGTAGGGAAAAAGGAAAACACGTACTGTAAACCAGATGGCTGCAAAAATGTAGTAAAATGAACCAACTGAGGAGAAACAAACGTATTAGTAAGGGTGATCTGTAGAAACAGGAATAGCCCGTTGTCATAGTCCTCTCTTGTGTCAGTACGGAGAAAGGAATGCAACAAAGGCACTTAAAGTCCGTGTACCGGGTAGAATCATTGCAAGGCACAGATAGAATATGTAGCTTATATAGCTGGAAATCGGAAGCGTATCAAATCGATGGAATGCGCGAGGATCAGTGAAAAATAGTGAATAGAAGCACCGTAATCAAAGCTTAAATGGAAATTGGGAGACAGAACACATATCTAGCACAAAGAAACGGAGCCGCCCCGCAGCTAAAAAACATATGAAAGCAGAGCCCCTTGCAGTAGAAAGAAGTAGAAAAAGGGTATAGTTCCATGCGTGCCATGAGTGACAAGTCCATGGAGATCAAGCACTGCGGCCAAACCCAGGTGGGTACTTAGCAAGCTCGAAATTGACATATGAGAAGTCGTGTACGAAGACCAACCCACGGTTCGCTACATGGACTCAAACTGCTCCACACGTTTCTTAGTATTTCCTTGTCGAATGGCATGAAGAGTGCGATATTTGTCCATTCCTCGGCTTATATTCTCCTCATAGCGGATATCAACCTGTTGCAATTTGTTGCGGTCACGTGCGGGATCCAGTTCAAGTCGCATTATTTCCAATCGCTTCGCATAATCTATATCGGTAACTGCCATGGCCTGTCGCTCAGCCTCTGGCCGAAGGTTGTCCAGAGCTTCCAATTCTTGCTCTGGAAAGAAATGAATGTAGGTTATGGTCCGTGGCAAAACAACACGGATAAACATTCTTAATGTACAATACCCATCGGTAAGCGTCATAATGCAGTTATGTTTAAAACAGCTGCTCATCACATTTCAAAAAAGTACAGATGGTAAAAACGACAGCGAGTAAATCATAAGGATATACCATTATCTCCTCAAACTGACATGTTCTTTCAGTAGAATGTCAATTACTATGCAGATTCCCCAATTTGGCTTTCCGTACGCGGATAGATCCCACGAGATAAGCCTGTCCCGTTAATGAACACAAATTTCGTGGAAAGCATGATACGTGCATCACCCCTGGTATCACTCAGCGGTTGTTTGAGTGAGCGACCCTAATTCATGCAGGTCTACATCTGCTCTGCAATGTGGCGGGGCTGTGAGGATGTCTGTTCGAAGGTACCCGCAGTGCAGTCATCCTTGTCTTGATCGTTGTACCTTTCTAGTCCTCTGGCGTTTTCGTCTGGTACCGACACGTCCATATCAACCGACGTAACGGGCTTATCTTATCTCTGTTAAATCCAGCTCGATAAACGGGAACTACAGGCGAGACTTTGAGACAAGCGAGACCAGCAACATTAAATATTCGACACCTTGCTGTGAAGGGACCATTGTGTTAGTGATTTTACCCAACTGCAGATAATCGTTGGTGTCTTGAAAACGTTAGTTCAGCGTATACAGACTAATGAGACTACATAGGTCATCATCATTGTCAGCTGTAATAACCACGTAGTCGTCGTACAGTGGTTGTAGCTGCCGCAGTTTCGTTCACCGATGGTTTGGGGGGGGGGGAGGGTAGTGC